ACAGTCACTAAGGATCTAGACAGAAGAAGTAGGAACAATGTCACACTAACCCATAGTATGGAGCCCCTTCTACCAAGGGTATGGGAGAGGCAGTGAAGGAGATTTTACAAAAACAAAAGAAAGAGAACACGGCAATTTCTGCACAATCGAGCAATAATTAGCACTCCCCACCGGATCATAAATCACATCAAATAGGAGTGCTCTCTTAATGACTCCAAGTTTCTAGTGGGAATAAGGGTCTGTCTTTGTTGGAGAGAACTGAAGCCTTCTGGGGAGACCAAAGAATCCTAGAGTGTAGGGAAGAGGCCACCAGCAGCCTCCCCTCGGGCTCCTCCTACAGGAGAGAACTTGGGAGGCTGTGGGGAGCAGGGAGGATAGTAGGAAGAGGAGCCTGCCCTGCAGCTGCCTCCCACACACTGACAGCTGCCAGCACCTGGCCTCACTCCACAGAGGAGCTATACTGCCAAGGAGCCGGGTGGGCTGGCTGTAGGCCTCACCTCTTTCCCATCCAGACATGAACCACCCCTCCAGTCACTCCAGCCCAATGAGGACAAGAGGGCCCCCCAGTAGGAACCACTTCCCAATGCCTAATGCAGTTATCACACAAGTAGAATGCAAAAGGACCGAAGACAGGTGACCTTGGCCCATAGATTGGGGACAGGAGGTACCCAAGGCGTGGCCTCATCAGAGAAAATAAATCTATGGGAAAAGGTAGCCCCTCCACATTTAAGGGTGGTCCAACAGGCTACAAGAACATGAAGCCCCCAGAGACTGGGCTGTCCCAGTGATAGTGGCCGGCAGGAAGAACAGCCATCCTCAGAAATCAGGTCATTTCAAGAGGCTATCTGCCCAGTCAGGACACTGGGTTTGAGGAGAGGGCCTAGGACAGTATGCTTACATTCCTGTATAATTCAGTGTTCAGTGTCTTTCTCCTGTGACAGGAGCCCTGTCTGTCTCTGACCCCAGAGTCTATAAGACTGCTGCCAACTAGCCCACCAGAACCCCTCAGTACTGAGGAGTCTAGTGCCCTCACCCCGCCTATCTGATCTTTCTCCTCTCCAGTAGCTGCCCAAGGCCACCTCTTCTTGAAAGTTCTCACATACCTCTATGTCTCATCCAGTGGCTACTGCACCCCTCACCCCCGAGCTTCCCCAGTCACCTTTAGCCTCTGTTCCACACCTGAGACACTCTGTCCTTGGTTCTGACACTTCTGCAACTCCACACCCATCTTGTCTGGGTGTTGCTCCCTAACCTGCCTCTGCCCCAGGTCAGGCCACTACCAGCCCCTACTAGCTGCCTCTTCCTCAAGTCACATCCTCTTCTGAGACTATTTCAGACTACAAATCAAGTTGGGTGTGGTGGCATAAACCTTTAATCCCAACAGGCAGAAGCAGGCAGATTTCAGTGAGCTCCAGGCCAGCCATGGCTACATAGTGAGACCTTGTCTCAACAAACAAACAACAAGAACAAAAAACAGATTACAAATAAGACTTGGCAGCAGGTCATGAAGTCAATTTCCTGGGCTTCGACCATGGATTTTTTTGTTTTTGTTTTTTTGTTTTTTTGTTTTTTAATGGAATTTTGAAAAAAGGACAGAATGCATCTAAATACCTTGCTCATAGTAAGCATAACATGTCTCGTGAAACTTTGCCTCCGTTACATATGTGACACGTGTGTGTAGACATGCATATTGGGTCATACTGTGGCATCTATTTCCTCCCTACATCTTGGTCACCAGGATTTGAAGTTTCTTCCTCTCCCAGCACAGTGGAATGTCGTCTGTCACTTCCGCTCTGTCAGCAGGCTCTGGTGGGTAATCTGGATCATGATTACTACAGTTGGTCAGTGTGTCACTTCAGCTAAAAACTATGTGCAGGAGGGAACAGCAGTGAAGTAGAGTGGTTAGCTAGTGAGGCAGTGCCAGTCTCTCCTGCACAAGGCCAACGGCAGACATTCCGGACGCACCTGACCTGCCTGCCCCCAGGGTTTCTGCTGCACCATGAAGAAGGTAGCAGGCACCAGGCAACAAGTGTAGCTGGACTCCAGTGAGGCATGTTGACAGCCCCTGTGGATTGCTAGGGGTTAAGTTTGCAGGACCCTGGCCTGGGTCATTCACCATCTGACCACTTCTACAAGTCAAGCAACAGCACTGTCTTCAAGTAGATGGAGGAAGATGCCATGGCCTCTGCCACATCATCACCATCCCAGTCACGAGGTTCCCAGGCTGGGGACAACTCCCCTTGGTCCATGGCCTTGCACCTGTCATTGTGGGGAGCTTGGGGTCCCCAAAGTCACAGCAGGTTACAGCTGGGAGAAGCTGGACTCCACCACCCCCAGTTTGGGCTGATCTCCAGCTGCACCTTCAATCCTCAGAAACAGAGCCCTGACCAGAAAGCTACCCCTTCCCACCCAGACCCTTCTGCCATCTAGGAGAACTGGGCACAGCACTAAAGATGCTGCTGGCTTTTGTTTGGCTTGTTTATTTGTTTCCCTTTTGACCCTAATTTTATTGAGTACATCTTTAATGAGCTTTTCAATAAATGCTGTAGGCTGGCACCAAGGTGCGCAAGCCCAGCAGCCCTTCCCCATTTTTCAGGGAAGCCCCCACGGCTCTGCTATAATTAGAAGTCAATTAAATCAGAAACCATTAATATGGCTCTTGGAAGACCTCCAACACCCAGTCACTGTGGAAACTCATCTCTGCTCACCCCACTGTTTTGAAGCAAGGTCAGGGCTGTGGACCGGGTTGTGTGTGAGGGAGCAGCCCCCTTTCTGACCTCTACTGCCCCTACTCCACCCCACCCATGGGGCTGTAGTCAGCCTCCCTTCCTATAGGCGTCCCCTGCTGGGTCTCCCTACTTTCCCTGCTGCCTGCCCCAGCTTGCTCCTTGCCAGAAGGAAAACACCCAACAAGTTCACAACTAAGGGCAGCCTGGGTATTTTCATCTTGCATTGCAGTTCTGAGGTGCAAGAGAGTCTGGAAGCCTGGCCATTTCTAGTAGGTCACCCAACAGATACAACTGACCTTGTGAGAGCCACCTCTAGATATCTGAGCCATGCGGCTGAACCCAGGGAAGACCCAGGCCCTGTCCCTCCAGGCCTTGCCAGTGACTCTGACCAATTATCTGTGGGATCTTGCAGAATGTTCTCAGCCTGCTCTTGGAAACACACTTCTCCCCAAAGTGAAATATCTTTGTGGTTTTTTTTTTTTTTTTTTTTGGTCACAAAATTCACAAAGACTACTAAACAATCACTCTAATCCTTGGTCTGTGGCAACCTCCATACCCATTACTCCCTTACAAAATCTCTGCTGCAAGGTGAATTGGGTGTCACTCTGACCCTTCTCTGTGCATATAGAAAGCTTTACATCCACAGCCATGGAGGAAAGTCTGTATGAGGCCTTTGTCACTCAACAATAGACAGTTGAGCCCTGCATGGTGCACCAGGAAACTGAATGCTTAGATTCTTTTCCTGGTTCCAGATGCCAAACCCAGGTCCTCAAGCATGCTAAGAAAGTGTTTTACCACTGAGACCAGAATTTTGTTTGTTTGCTTGTTTGTTTATTGCTATGATAATCATCTCTGGGCCCTACCTGGATCTCATTCATCCTCCCTAAACAGAAGTGTGGACACTTGCTGCTCCATGGGGAGGGAGTAGGAGGCTGGACAGGGGCACTTGGAAGGAAACAGGTCCTGGAAAGCCACAGGTTCCAAGCTCATCAGATAGGGACCCCACCAGCCTCTATACATGTTTATGCTTTGAGTGCTTCTCCTAAGTGTGCATTCTAATTCCAGAACTCTCAGCAAGTGGGGCCTTAAGTCTGTGGAGGTTAGAAAAGTAGATGCTGTATATCGAAATGCTCAAGGACTCCTTGAGCCCACCAACTTACTCAGCTCTCCTAGACTTCTCTAGCTTATTTTCAATACACAATCCTTTGACTATTTTCTCAATGTCCATGGGATATTATAGGGCTAAAGTCTTGCAATTAGGAAGGAAAGAAGAAAGGAAAGGGGGGAGTCAGAGGGAGGCAGTGATTTCTAGGTGCCATGGTCTGCTCTGAGCTACTCAACCCAGTGTTTTCCTGTGTACTATTGAAAAGTATTGTTTCTTATGACCAATCACAAGAGCAAGAGAATATAGGGTAAAGGGGCTAGGTTCCCCCCAGTTTGATGTGAGGTCTGAGTCAGCAGTACTTTCTGGAAGGTTCCTCATATGCCTCACCAATCAGAGAGTGTATGTTGTTTACCGTTAATTTACCTTTATTGTCAACACTGTGACCACAGTGTGGCACCAGGAGAGTCCAGTGGTTCATGTGAGCACATCATCTGTCTCTCTTCATGTAGGGTAGTTCATACCCACACTCACAGGTAAAATAGTTTGACTTGAAAACATGACTCCTGTTCATAAAGTGAAAAGGTGAACAGAAACTCCTACAGGAAAGCAGTGCACTAATGTAGTTGGCAAAAAGCCCATGAACCACTGGCCTATAGCATCCTCTGTACATCAAATAGCTGTGTCCAAGTCATTTAACTTCTCTGCCCTTCATTTGTCTCAACTGTAAAATTAGGTGGCTGAACTCCTATACTCTCTTAACTCATCAACTCTAATGAATGACTCCGGCCTCATAAAGAAGTATCTCCAGGAATCTTGTTGCACTGGAGCAGAACCAGCCTAGGGCATCTCAGTTAGAGCTTGTTCAAGACCATTCTTCAAACACGGGAGCATGTCAAACACTAGCCCTGAGCTTAAGGTCTAACAGCAGGCCCCCTTGTGCTCAGTCCTTTCTCTGGGGGCTCTTTCTGAGACACATTTTAATGCTGGTGAAGGTACCTGAACTGGCCCCAGGATTACCAGTCTGAAACTTAGCTTAAAGTCTGCCTTTTCTTTAGAGTGTATCATTCCTCATGCTGTCTACTGGAAGGTACCTTTATCCAACGGGGACACAATGAAGATTAAGGCAGTGAGTGGACCACCTGGTACTGATGGAATGTGTCTTTCAGGTGCTCATCCAGGAGAGCATGGCCCACATGGGGGACTGCAAGTGGATGCCCTGGCTCCCTGTCCTGGTGGTAAGTTGCTCAGAGCACCTGCTCCCACTGTGCCCTTAGTCTAGCACCTGCAGGGCAGGAGGTTTCCCTTCAGGCCTCACCCTTCACCAGATATGCCACCTTAGACTGCCCTTAGCCTCCTAAACCTAGACATCCCCAGCTAACAGACGAGAATGATGCCTCCAGCCTCAACTGGACGGTTAACTTGGCACTCCCTTCTCAGAGCTTGTAGATAGAAGAGTCCCTGAATACTTGTCAGTGGTGTGTTAGCCACACCAATGCCTGTGTGATAGACATACAACTGAGAAAGACCTGGAAATTCCTACCTTCTAGAGCGCCTCCTGAGAGTGTGGGTGGGGGCACCGTGAGGTGAAAAGGCCAGCATTTGTGGTACCTAGCTGGCTAGAGGCTCAAGAGAGGGGGCACCTTCCCCATGTCCTTGAGATAATCCAAGGCAGACTGTGTGGGGGAAAAGAACCTGGCGCAGCCTTGACCAGAGGATGGGTTTGGACAGCAGGGTCAGGAGGAAGTGGTTCTAAGGATGAATGCTGATGGGAGGCAAGGATGGCCATGCCCACAGCCCTGGGGTGCTCATTAAGCCACTAGCCAGCATCTTAACCCTGGGCACTCTGGGCACTGCCCATGCAAGCACACATCTCAAGAAGCATGGAGGCCAAGCATCCCTTCTGTGGCAGGTGTCCCTGATGTGCTCAGCCAAAGCAGAGGAATCCAACTGTGGTGAGAATGAGTACCACAACCAGACCACCGGGCTGTGCCACCAGTGTCCCCCCTGCGGGCCAGGGGAGGAGCCCTACATGGTAAGGACCAGAGTGTGCCCATGAGCTAGGGCAGGGGGAGCACTCACAGCTCCAGTCTGATGAACTGGCATTGAGGACCAAGAGATCACCAAGATAGATCAAACTGATCACTTACGATCAGCAGACACCAGGGCTGAGTGGCATGAGCTGTCTGAGCCCAGCGCACTCACCAGCTGAGCACTTGCCAGCTATTTCTCGGGTGTTAGGAATTTTTGAAGAGAGCATCCTGTTCTGCACTGCTGGCCAGGCAGTCTGATTTGGAAGTGTGTGGCTGAAAGGCTTTCCAACCAACGGTGCCTCAGTTCTGAGTGCTGGGTCTCCTTGCTGAAAGAAGGTGCCGCGCATGCTCTGTGAAGCACCGGGAGTTATATCTAGAGCAACAATATTTGGGGTTCTTGTAGAGCTCTGAGAAAAGTCAGACTCCCAGGACTGACCCTCTCAGAGAACGTGCCAGGAAGCCAGTGGATCTATTTCAGGGACTTGGAAGGGCAGCATCTGAGGCTGGAACCCGTCACTATCCCCTGTCAGCTGTTAGGGGGAGCAAGCTCAGAGACAGAACTGGAGAAGTGGGGGCTTTGCAGTTATGATGTTAGACCCCGAAAGAGTAGCTTCTGGAAGCAGCCAGCGTGCCACTGTGCAGGCCAGCTGTGGTCACTTCCTGCTCTCTCATCTTCTCACTGCACCCCCACCCCCACCCCCGGCTAGTCCTGTGGATACGGCACCAAAGACGAGGACTATGGCTGTGTGCCCTGCCCAGCAGAGAAGTTTTCCAAAGGAGGTTACCAGATATGCAGGCGCCACAAGGACTGTGAGGGCTTCTTCCGGGCCACTGTGCTGACGCCAGGGGATATGGAGAATGACGCCGAGTGTGGTCCGTGCCTCCCTGGGTAAGTGTGGGGTGTGCTGGACTGACTCCTGCTCAGTGAGGGGCAAAGACATTGTGAGCAGAAGTCCACAGGTACCACAGATCTTCACAAAGTGTCATGCCCACCTGTTGTCCCCTTCTATTGGGAACAACAGCAAGATGGTGAGTCCTGTCGCCTCTCGTGGATAGGTAGGCACCTACTATGTGGGCAAAAAATCATCATAGTATAGCCTAATCCCCTATGTAAAAGAAACGACTTACAATGAAACAATGCAGGTGAGACATTTTGAAGGGGGAAAAAAATCATAGCATTCTGCAAGAAAGTATTATTTTTAGTAGTTTTAATATTCTGGGCAAGTTGTGGAGGAACGTGTCAGTAGGCTATACTGCAGAGGCAGAGGCAGGAGGAAACAAGTTCAAGACCAGCCTGGGGGTGAAAGATACTAATAAAGAAATTTGAGTCTTGTATGCCTGCACTCCTACCATAGCTGAGTTTTGTATCAAGTCTCCCAAAGAAAAGCAAAATTAAATATAATTGACCTGAAAGGCAAAAAGATAAAACTTTTCTGTTTTCTAGATAGAATAGGAAATTTGGCCGGGAATTAGAAAATTCCTACCTTGACACCCAATAAAGACCAAGCTTTGGTGGTTGCTGCTGCCTCCCTCTAGTGGTGACAAGATAGAATGTTTGCAATTGGAAGCAGACAAAAGTAATGGTGGTAGTGATGTGATGATACAGGTTTAGGTGAAGGAGCTGGCAGAGATGGTGGAGGTGATGGTGGTGGTTGACCACATGGTGCTTATGGCCGTGATGAGGCAGGTGAGGTTGTGGATCTAATGCCAGAAGTGATGAGAGTGGGTAGAGGCAATGGATGTCATGGCAGTGATCATGGTGCAGAGGTATCTTTGAATAGCTTACTACACTTGACACCATGCTTATACATACATTGGTTCGCAGGTTCACTGATGTAAGTAGGAGGAAGAAGATAGAAATGACACAGAAGAAAGCACCGAGCACTACTTTGTAAAAAGAAGGAAGTATACAAAGTCAGAAAGTCCCTCCAACCTAACAGTGTGAATTTACTCTTCACAATGAGAAGACATGTCTGTCACACACAAATACACATACGCTCCCTTAGTTCAGTTTTGTTACGGAAAGCATTTTTTTTTCATGCCATCCATCATCTATTTGCTGGCAACCATGTCCCACCCCCAGTATGCAATGTTCTGCCTTCAGTTCAGGTCGCCTCCTGAGCCACAGACTCAGATATCCAAATATTTGCAGGGAAACCCATGTCAAGGTCTCTAATACAAAGTATGATCCAAAAATATTTGTCAAACAAATTCATAAAGCAGTAGAACCTCACCGTGTAATCTTATCCTTCAAAAAAAAAAAACCTCTTCACAAAAAGCAGGGAGCTGTAAACAGGAGGATACTAGACTATTAACTTCAAAAAGATGATAAAAATAAATTTTCTCTCTGGATAGCTTTGGTTCAATTGTTATAGTTAATGTGTTGTTAGAACCAGCACCAGTGCTTCCCCACCTAACTATACAAGCACATCAAGGGAACGCTCAGTGTAGACCCTGAGCTTGCCTGTGAGTGAGAGAAATTCAGAGAAGTTGAGGGTAGACAGCTATAATTAGTCTGTGATAGTTCACACACTTCCTAGAATTCTATCTCGATTGGCTCATTTACTCATTGGCTTTACAGGGTTTTTTTTTTGTCTTGGTTTAAATGTATGATTCACCAAAGAAACACAGAGCTTCTGTGTACCTGTGGGAAAGTATGCCCACCCATTAGGCTCCCTCTGGAGAGAAAGAACTCTCTCTGCAAGACCTGTTTATTTCTAGAGGTGTGTGTGGCCTCGGTGAGGAGCTGTAGAGAAGGCAAGCAAGCAGAGTCAGATGGAAGTATTCTGAATATCGGCACTGAAGATGTGGGCCTTCAGCTTGCAAATGATGTAAGTCTTCATGCCGAATGTCAAGTCAGGAAAAGATGCAACAGGGCTGGTGTCATGAGGAGCCTTTTGACAGTCACAAGGGAGATGGCTGAGTTGAGAAGTGCCAGAGCTTAGGGAGCAAGGACAATGTAGGGAGTGCTGGGAACTGAGGCAAGGGCACTGGGGGTTGCAAGAGTCTGAGGGTTTCACAGCAGCCAGACAGAGGCAAAAGATGAGGAAGAGGTACAGAAGAGGGCTCACTGACCTCTCTCAACCCTCCCTTGTGTCAGTGTGGATGGTGGCATCAGGTGTTCAGATGTGGAGTACAGGAGGAAGAAGGATTTGATGGTGATGTGGAGGCAGGTGGAGGCCAAATAGAATCTGGTGCTGTAGGACATCCACATCAAACTCTCCCACATGGATGGTCAGAGAGGTGTGATGCTCAAGACGAGACCCAAGCTGGTAATTAGTGGGGCTAGAGCTATTGGTCCAGATGGCCCCCATGAGACAGCTTCACCAAGCAGGGAGGATGGGCCAGTGCATTATAAAGCTCCTCAGCCCATACACCCTAGCTCTCACCTGGCTAGAGGTGAGCCCTGTGGCTGTGCCACATTAATAGTCCGCAGAATCAGTTGCCATTTTGTTCCAGATGAACTTAAAGGGGCAGTGACTGTTTACATGGCACAGCTTGTTTCACTATCACTTAGAGCCACAGAGACTCTAGCTGGGGACATGTGGTGAGTGCACTGCTCAAAGACAGGTGCCAGCCAGCACTTAGAGCTGACTGAAGAGCCATGAAGAGAATTTTCCTGGTCTCAATATTTACCAGAAATTGCCCAACCCCCTAAAGAAGTTTTATAATGGTAGTGAGCCCTCCAGCTCTAGAAGGCTTCACACAGCTGTGACAGAACTAGTGGCGAGGCTGCCATGTGTTCTGAAAGCTTGGAAGTCTTGAGTACTTCCATCCCTGAACAGTAATTTTATCTTCAGCACCCAGGACAGAGCAAGGTTGCCGCACCCCCTAAGCCAGGGAGGGACACAAGTCCTCACCATCTCAGCATTCTGCAGATCACTCTAAGGATGTGAAAACTGGGTAGTCAGTCCCCTATTTGACTTGTAGTGAAATATATCTGCTTAAATCAGATATTTGAGGGCACAAACTAGAAGGCTCCCACTTTACCTCCCCAAGGCTCTCTTAGGAACTACTACCTTCCTCAAGCTCAAGCCCTATGGGGCAGGACCCCAAAGGGCTCCTACTTCCTGTTGCATACTCTGGATTTACAGAACAAAATGAGGCTCTCATGCTGTCACAGAGGACCATGGGCATTTCGGCAGGCTGGTATGATCAGCTCCATGAAAGGCTGTTTCATTTCTGAACCCTTGTGGTTTGGGGCCGGGATGCAGATTACCTGGTGTTTGTCTTTCCAAGGCTGCCCTAAAGCCACCTTGCCCCCCACCCCCCCACCCCCGCCTTCCCGGTGGTTTGTCAGGTGCTGTCTCCCATTCTCAGCTTTGCAGCCACATGTGCCCCAGACTCTGGCTAAACAATAGCAGGACATGGGGCTTTCTTATTGGGAAAGATATGTGTGGGAGGAACAACAGAAGGCAAGGACCAGGAAGAGGGAAGGGGTCAGATTTCATAACCTCCCCACATTGGCATCGCCTGCCCCTGGGAACGTTCTGCAGCCCAGCTGCTCTACACCAGCTGCTCCCTTCACACAGAAGGCTCAGCACAGCCTGCAACTGGGAAGGGGAAGGACTCAAGGCCTGGCTCTATAAGCCAACAAGTCGGAGGGAATGAGCATCTCCTGACCCAGAACATCCACTGCAAGCTTGTGGTCCCAGGAAAAGTGAATCTGTAGGAGCAATCAAATTCTGTTGTCTTAGAGGAAGTCAATCTCTAGATAGAAGACTCTACAGTTCCTGTTTAAACTGAATTTTGCCCTGGGCTAGACTTAGCCAGGAGAGAAAAGGAAAGAAAACTTCAGGTAGTCCCCAACTTACAATGGTTCAACTTAGCATTTTTCTACTTATTGTGTTAAACTCAGTAAGTAGAAACTATAGTTCAGCATGTGTTAACCTGCAGTTAATGGTACGCTCCCCCCCATGTAACCATTCTGTCTTTCACTTTCAGGGCAGAACTGCGTGAGGGAGCCAGCACTGTATTGTGAAGTAGGCTCTATGGTAGATGATACAGCCCAGTTGCAAGCGAATGTGTGTACGTTCTGAGCATGTTGGAGGCAACTCCACTAGCTAGGGTGTGGGGCCGGCTGTATGCACTGAATGTATTTTCTGTATAACAGCATCTTTAACTTACAATGAACGTATCAGGCAGGACACAACCCTATGGTGAATCTAGAGCATCTGTAGGGAAAATCAAAATGGAAAGAGTAGGAAATCACATCTTTACTGAAAGGCAAATGATCTTGGCACTGGCTGGGCAACAGATTCCTGAATGAACACTCTACTTCAGATCGAAGAAGCTGTCAGACACCAGATGACAGACCAGTGTTTTCATTTCCTATCTAGCTCTGCATGAACTACAGATGTAGGCTTTACCATGAGGAGTTTAAGTTAGTCCTGAAAGTAAAACAACATTTTAAAGTGTTCCCTAGGCTGGGAAGCTTGCTCAGTCCATGCCTTCTGGGAAAACATGAGGACTCAAATTCAGATCTCCAGCACCCGTGTAAAAGCCAGAGTGGTAGCATACATCTAGAACCCCAGCACCGGGGGCATAAAGGCAGGAGGATCCTTGAAGTTTATTGTCTAACCAGCCTTGTTGAATCAACGAGGTCCAGGTTCAGTGAGAGACTGTGTCTAAAAGAATAAGGTGGAGACCAATCAAGGAAGATACCCGACATAGATTTCTGGCCTCCACACTTGCGTATACATAAATACACATCCATCTTCACACACAACACCCATGGGAACACGTACATAACAAAGCACATACACACATGTAATGTTCTTTAAACAATACATGCTAGAAAAAGGTGGTTCTTCTTATCTGGGAACAACTGACACTCATGCCAGTAGGCCATGTGACTTCCTAACAGTCTCCTGGAGCCAACCCATTTTAAAATTCTTATAGCCTTTCAATATTGCTCCTTCACTGTTACTTTGCACAACTTGGTCCAAATGTACAATCAGGGCCAGGGTAGAAGCATGGCGCTACAAGCGTTCAGAGCCCCATGTCCGGCTGGGAGTAGTCAGCCTGTAGCGCCATGTCTGTCTCCATGACAAGAATAGGCTACCTCACCATAGATGCAAACCCTGAACAGCCCCTGTCTAGGTGCTGAACACTCAGGGTCTTCAGTAAGTAGCAGGTTCTAAACCCCAGGTGTTCCACACATCTTGTATGAGTGTGACTCTGGAGCTTCAGAGTGTGACAGAGCCCATGACTCACATGTAAACGGGGCAGGTAAGTCTGTGGTTCTTCTGTTTTAAAAAGGAAGAGACATCTCAAAACATCTTTGGAGTTTCTTTCCATCTCAGTACTTGGAACTTGCACTGACCAGAATGTGATATAATTCATTAACTTGTCCAACCAATATTTACCAACAACTTAGCTTCCTCAGTACCTAGCAAGAGGTATGAAGATCTCAGTTATGAACAAGGCTTACCCTCATTGGCTTCCAGCACCTGGTCATGATAGGACAGGAGAAAGAATGGTGTGTAGGTAGAGGTGAGAGGAAGAGAAGGTTGTAGCCTGAGGTGTCTCCCAGAAGAGGCATATAGGACCTGGGTGGTAGAAAGCTGCAGGTTGCGTTGCCTAGCAAGAAGCACCAGACAGGTGCCCTCTGCTGGAAAGATCTACCATCATGTTCTTATGTGGCTCCCTGCTTCACTGAGGGGCCAAAGGGTGTGTTTGAGCTTTTTCCAGAAGGCTTAACAGTAAAACTAACTGTTGTGGCTTCTCTGAGGGGTGTTTTTGAGATTGGTTAATTAATGTTTACAAGATACACAAGGATCTGAGGATAAAAGACTTTGTGGAAGGGCAAGCAATTACAACCCTAATGTTACTGGTAATGGTCCAAGCTGAGGCAGGCTGGGGTCCAGAGCCTCCCCAGCCTGGCCCTCCTGCACCAACCTGCTGCTTACCACCCACAGCCATCAGTGGAGCCTTCGTGGTACACAGCTAATAAGAAAGAGATTAGAAAACAACCACAGACCGCTCCAATAGCAGAGAAGGATTTGCATCTCTTGAATTATAAGGGGAAGCACTGACACCAGCTCACTTTGACTTCTCATAATGTGATAAATGGCTACATGATCACCATGGGATGTGTGTTGATGGAAAATGGCTCACACCAAGATAGAAGCCAAAGTGACAAAGGGAAGATGATGCCCACAGGAGGCTGTGCTATGGGAGGGGAGTTGCAGATTCCTGAGGGCTGGATCTCTTAATGGATGTTGTGGATGTTGTAGTACAGGAGCATCATTTGGAGTACAGGACTTGTAGCAGTGTTACTTGTGAGTGATTCATCCTTTTTGAATTTAACTGCAGACTCAACTCTCATAGTTACATAGGCGTCTTTGGCCAAGGGCAATTACTGTTGGGACTAGTTGCATTTCAGGTCATCTTCAAGGCCATCTGCACTGATCTATCCGGCCACCAGTGCAGTTGCTTTCTGTCTCTGGTACTCCACCACTCACTCAGGAATTTGAGGGATCCCAAACACACAGGCACTTGTGCCAACAACCCCACCAGGCTATGGGCTCTGAGAAGGGTGACCTCTGCTTAGTGAGAGACGCAGGGCCCGATACTTCTGCTGAAGGGTGTTGATGAAGATGGTGATTGCACACATACTAGATAAACACCCCAGAAAGGAATAGAGAGAGGAGGGTATTAGAAGACAGACCCAAATCAGCCTAGTACTAGAGAAAAAAAAAGTTCCATTTCAGGACATGCTAAATACCCTCCTGCAGGAGGGCCAGGCTGGGGAGACTCTGGACCCCAAGGAACTCAGGGAGCCCAGAGAGCAGCTGGCTCCTCAGGTCCTCCGTTCCCATGGGTTATCACATGCCTGGCTTCAGCCATAACTTGGGGCAATCTGGGTTATGCCTGTGTGGTGTCTTCCACTCATCTGTCTTTTGTTTGTTTTATCTTGCCTCCTGTAGCTACTACATGCTAGAAAACAGACCCAGGAACATCTACGGCATGGTCTGCTACTCCTGCCTCCTCGCGCCCCCCAACACCAAGGAATGTGAGTACTTTGCCTCTGCAACAGAACCCCATTTGTCCAGCACTGGTGTCCTTTACTCAAAAGGTATTGAAAGAAGCCAAATCCAACACTTAGAGAAGATCAACAGATTTGGGGGCTAGAGGGACAACTCAGCCATTAAGAGTACTTGCTGCTCTTGAAGAGGATTTAGATTTGGTTCCCAGTACCAACCTCAGGCAGCTCACAACCACCCAGCTCCAGGGAATTCAATGCCCTCTTCTGGTCTCTTGTAGGCAGAAACACACACACACACACAAATAAAACCTTAAAAAGAGAGAGAGAGAGAGAGAGAGAGATCAACACAGTAAAGGTATAAACCAGATATAGGCTTTGCTGTGGATGAGCATTCAGTCAGTTCACCAAAGCTGTCTTACAAGTCAGATACTAGCACCTTGAAAAAGTCTCTTAGTTTAATTATCTGTCTGGTGGAGATTCTAAGACCTGACGTATTCATCTTATGTAACCATTAGGAAAGCCAATAAGATCACAGATGAAAGATACTTTGAAAGTACTATAAAGTGCTAGACAAATAATCAGAAGTAATCAAGTAAAGGAATTGCTTCTAAAAGGCATATATAAACCATCTGTCTCATGAGTTTACAATCCCTCCTTGGTCTGTTTCTTCTCTGATCTTCTTATGGTATTTCATTTATAAAGAAAAATCATGTCCCTCTATTTCAGAGGACTCTTAACCTGTTGTTTCTAGGACTTGTGTCCTGGTCTAACAAAGGCAGTGACATTCTGGAGATGGGACCGTTGACCTACATCTTTACTGTCAAATACATTTAAAATGTGTTTTAAAACCACCCAAACCTGCTGAATGTAGGTTTGATGACAGACTGCTGGGAGGAGGCTGGCCTCACACCTATCCTGCAGCTCTTTCCCTAGAGGAGGAGGAACTGACTTGGAACCCACCTGTCCTTGCTCCCTACAAGGCCCATCCACCCCCAACTTATGGAATAGGAACTTTGTCATTAAAAGACTGAAGGACAGGAATGGGAGCGCATATTCACTCCTATCTTCTGGCCAGGCCCAGGAAGATAATGACACACTTCTGGGCAGATTCCTGGGGGCAGGGATGCTAGGGATTAGGGAAGCCAGGTATACAGGGCCATTCCCTTCATTCCAAATAGCCTGGCCTTTGGAATAGATTTGCATGTCTTTAAAATTGAACTTCCTACCCATCATCTGCCAATTAATTCACACATTAGAGGAGGCCCTGGGGCTCCTGGCTGGCAGCCTGACCTGTGATGAAGTCATTTGCCATTGCTAATGTGTCTTCTGTCAGGGACTCTATGTAAATTCAATGCATCTTCATGAGCCTCCATCTCCATCCAACATGAGGAAAGCAAGCAAATCCCTGACTCCTGGAGATTTGAAAAGTTAGCACACTCCCTCCGTCCTTCCACCCTTTCATTGCTTAACAGACAATGAGCTCCAGGAAGGCTTCACTGTAGGTTTTTATAGTCTAGCAAGAAAACCTTCAATTCTGGCTGGGAGCCGGTTATCTCCAACTGGAGTCCTCTGGATCCAGTCTCCAGGCTTCTCTGTCTGGTCTGCAAGGCCTTGTGTGTGACAGGTGGTGGACAGAGCACTGCTGGTCCAGGCCTCCCTAAGGACATGAAACAATGCCATTCTGTATCTATTCTACCTTGGTCTCAATTTGGAGGCCATGTTACCCCGGATGCACTGTGACTGGAAAACAGGAGACCCAAACTCACAGCATTGCCATCCACAGCCTATCCCAGAAAAGTCGGGGACTTGGCTGTACTTTTGTCAGGATTCGGAAATCACTGGCTGATGGCATAAGGCTGCTGCAGGCCCTGCCCTCCCTGAGCCCATGGTCAGTGGTCATGAGCACCTTTTTCTGGAGGGTAGATTTGACTTTCCTGGGCCTTGATGAACCAAGTTGTCATTCTTCACTCTGAGTTAAGGGCTCAGTGTACTAGTACATACAGGGTTTGACAGAATGCACTGCTGCATTCTAGCAAGCACACATCCCCCTCACTTTCTACAGCTAATAAGGACCTGACAGGTCTACTTGTCACTCCGGGATTCACCACCAGGGTGTGTGTGGCCAATGCCAGGGCTGCAGGGCACCGCCTTGACAACTGTAAGAACCAAACCACTCTTTAAAATCCAAACATTTACCCTCTATAGAGAATCCTAACCAGCCTCTAATGCATACTGACACATTTATAAATTGTGTGGATTAACAACTTCAAAGGCCCCTTCTATCCTATCATCTCTTTGAACAGAGGTATAATGCCACTAAGTCTTGTGCTCACAGTTTTCTAAGTCCCTGAGGAAGGTGAGCTGAGCCTCTGCAGCCAGTTTGGACTCTCACAGTGAGTTAAGCACATCCATCCCTGCTGCGTTATCTTGTAATAGACCTTGAGTGGAAATCTCTGCCCAATTTCTGGAACGCCAGTTTTCCAACTTTTATCAAACATTTCAGTCTTTCTCATTCAAAGTCAGGGTCCATGTGGAAGCAAACATGGATCCAGAGTTGACCACCCTAAGAAACTCATAAGGAGAAACATTCTTCCCATTTAGCACAAAGGGTGGGATGGAGATAATGGGGACCTGAAGAGTGCTTCCAAGTTTAGCTGAGGGGGTGGCTACAGGTGTTCAGTGCCAGCCCTGGCTTGGAGACATTGTAAAAAGTGTGGTCCACCCTCCTGCCCATGATCCCCACCTCCCTTCTGCTCAGATATATACAGCAGAGTATCGCTGGCTGGGGAGTGCCTGGCCACCCCTGTGGCCAATGGAGTCTGGGCACTCCACTGATGTCAACTGGAGTTCAGTTTGAGAAATGTCCACTACATCAGGTCAAGGCACAGGTGGCCCAAGCAGGTGGCATCCACAGCTCTGGAAGATGTCTTTAACAAGTAGTAGCCTGCACCAATGTTTGGCAATGTCACATAACGAGGCCTCCTGTGCTCAGGGGCATTTCATAAATGTTTGCTCACCACTCTACTTTCATTGTTTCTTTTCTAGATCATAGGCCTAGGGATATGTGTGCCCCATCCCCTGTCACTGCCTTGGCCTGCAAGCCCCAACAAGAGGGGACAAGAAGAAACAAAGATTACTGGCATCCATAGACATAGCTCATGGCTATATTTTTTTTCCTCTGCCCACACATCTTAAGCTCACTTGAGCCCCTTACCAAACCAACAGATCAGCTTCTTTTCAATGTCCTATTTTCTTTAGAGAAAGGAAATTAGATTTTGCTCAAAGCTGGGCCAGGACACTCCACCTGATGACAGGTGATGGGCTGTTTCCTAGCACAGTACAAACAGCAGGACCCTGGAGCTTGCCCTAGCTGGCTGGAGCTGCTATCAGCTTGCAAAGGGCCTGGTTGGGGTCTGTGAGCAGAAGAGGGCACAGCCTCCATCTCTTTCACTTGAAAGGAGCTTGTGGCTATTTAGGCAAGAACCTCTCAGTTGGGGTATTCCCTCACCAATTCCTCCCTAATAGAACACTGATTCTGAGGTCCAGCTCAGAGGCTAAAGTTTAAAAGTAGAACTTAAGTTTGGAGTCCAAAACACACAAAAAAGTTTCCAGTGTCCTTCAGAAACTGGAAAGGAAGCATCTGGCCGTCCCCAGACTAATGACAGTCCTCCTGGCCGTGGTTCAATTTCTGTCTAACAATGACGGACAAGGTGTCCTCTGAACACCTTCAGACCTTACCAAAGCACAGACCTTCATCCCAGCCTGCCCACAGCCTGCCATGCCCTCTCATACCTCCACACTGCCCATTTGCCCAGTTTTCTACTTGTTGACAAGGTGTAAGGCCTGAGATGAGAGGTGTCTGGCCCCTTTCCATATGGTGTACACTTATCAGCACTGTCAGACGTCTCAACAGTACTTCCTGCTTCTACAGGGTCTCTCCTGGGGTGGCCTAAGCCAGGTAGCAGGAGGCTTCAACACGGTAGACCTGTGCTTCTCCCAGAACTTTCTGCTACAGGACTGCCCCAGCTGGGGAGGCTTACTCCTCATAAAAGCCCCATAGTGCTGTGAGCTGACTTGGTATAGCCTCCAGGCCTATTTTCTTGGCTGGGCTGAGCTAGGTGGGAAGGCTATAACTACAGACCTCAGGGAGGCTGGTGGCAGTGTCTGGGCTCATAGCTGCTTTTCAGAGGCACAGACATACTGTGTGAACCCCTCCAGAACTAATAACCAGCAAAAGTAAAAGAGAAAGAGAAAGGAAAGAAAACTCATTTGAAATATGACTCCTCCTACTCCAGGGCTGGGGGCCACACTCAGAACCTCATGTCTACTGAGCTACAGAATAACCCATTGTTTTTACCAATCACAAAACTTATGTTTGGCCTAAGGAAGATTACTTACCAGAACATCGTCTTTTCTGTGGCCTTAGCAAAATCAGCTTCATTTTCCCCCCTGCTAGATGACACTTCCATCAGCCATAGCTTGGAGGGAGGGCAGGGCACATCCCTATTCTTGAATGGGTTGGTCCTAATTATTTTAAAATCTCATCTTAGGCTGACAGTGTAGTGCAATGGTAAGTGCTCATCCAGCACCACAAAACCATCACAACAAAAATCTTGGGAAAATCCTAGAAGGCAGTACACCAGATCAACAGTACTATAGTGAGACTCCAGTGGGCTCTTCTTCAAGTTTTAATTCTTCCAGATTTTTAATAATGAAGGCGTATTACTTTTATGACTAGAAAAGGTATTAAGAACATGTTTCTGCTCTTTGTAATTGAAAAACTTAATCAAGTATTATTTCCCCTAATAGTACTTTCATCAACACATGTTGTCCTTGTCCTGACAGAATGCACACAGTCTGCCTTGGTTTGTAGTCAGGGAGACAGAGTTGTCTTTTTATTTGTAGACCAAGAACCCCTGTGGGGCTGGAGAGATGGTTCAGTGATTACGAGTGCTTGCTGCTCTTGCAGTAGACCAGTGGTCAGTTCCCAGCACCCATATTGGACAGCACACAACCACATGTAACTCCAGCTCCAGGAGATCTGATACCCTCTTCTGGCCTCTAAGGCTACCTGCACACATGTGGTACACATATAGATAAGCAGGCCACACATATAAACATAAATTTTAAAAGAACCCCAAGATGTCAGAATACTCTTTGGGGATAATTAAACACACTAAGAAATAAAACTATTTCCTCCCTGCCCCACTCCCTGCAATGTGGTCTAGAACTCCAGATTGATTCCTTTCACTGTGGCATCTTATTTTCCAGCCTTTGAAGGTGACGCTTTGCCAGATCACTGAGAGTGTGTGTTCTCCTTGCAGGTATGGGAACCACTTCAGGGGCTTCTGCCCACTCCCCCAGCACCTCTGGTGGCAGCACCCTGTCCCCCTTCCAGCATGCCCACAAAGGTGAGGAGGGTACCTAACTGTGGGTCTTCTAAGGCTCAGAGGCTGGGCAGGAGTGGGGAGAACTAGGGGACAGCAGTTGGCAATAAAAACAGAGCCCTTCCATCTTGCTGCCCTAATGTGACCAAATCACACAAATCACCCTGGGAACCACAGCTGCAGGATATTGAGGTAGAATTGCTAGTCATGGGTGTCTTAGCGCTCCGGCACCTCAGTAGGGTGACAGGTCAGATGCTCAGACAGTCAGGAGCCAAAGTCAACAGTAATTCTATTGCTGACATTCACACTTTTAAAACTCATTTTCAACAGCTGTATTTCATTTGCACACACACCCCACCAGCCCAGTCTAATGCTTCTTTCAGAGAAAGCCCTTGAGCTGGTTTGCTCCTTCTCCATAATTTTAATGCCATCTGTTATTTAAGCATATTTTGGTGAGTCTCCATGAGACCTGGGGCACCTTCAAGCACCCTCCAGGTATCAGTGCGCAGCCTGCAACACACTACACAGAAGACAGTGTGAGGACATGAGCATCTCGCTTCTCCCAGGACCCAGGAACAACATGTAACTGAGAATACTGAAACATTTCATCATCCATCCTCCGGGCTCAGTGATGTCACAGGCACACCAGACAACACTGAGAGGCTCAGAACCTCAATGGGCTCCGAGCCCTGGCATCTTCCTCAGATGGCCCAGAGCTTCAGATACCTGGCACTGCCTATCTAAGTGACAGGTCATCTGGATCCTGCTTCGTGAGAACCAGGGTGTCCTGTTGACTTATTTTGGAGAATTAGAGTAAGTTTTAGGACATCCCACATGTCCAATGGGAACCAAGCGAACTGCTCTGGCATAGAAAACCAGCCAAGTCAGGTGGTAACACAGGAATCGGTGAGTCAGTTCAGCCCCTCTTTACCCTGGAGCTCTTGTAATTACACTGAGGACAAAAATCACATGAGGTACCAGGTACCAGCCAAACCAGGAATTGAAGCTCTAGCCTGAGGAGTGGACTTTCCCATCCTGACTTATGCTTGGGAATGCCCAAACTTGGACTGTGATGTCTCAGGACACTTGTTTGTGGGCCTTTCTTCCCCCATCTCCACCTTGCTCTCAGGATCCCAGTGTTAGAACAAAGTGCAAGCAGCCCAGGAATAACCTCTTTGTCCTGCGTCCTGGTGTTCCTAGACTAGTATAGGTGAGCCCACTTGAGCGTATGGAGGAGTGGATGGGTGGTCCTGACATAGCAGCCAAAGCATGCTTTGAGGGTCAGGCTTTGGGCTAAGTATGGTCCCCAGAAGACTCCTCTAATGGGGTCTTCTGGTAGGTTCTGTAGCTTGAAGGAAGGCCCCTCAGAGACATTCATCTTTCTCTCCCTGATGCCAGCAGAGCTCTCAGGCCAAGGACATCTGGCCACTGCCCTGATCATCGCCATGTCTACCATCTTCATCATGGCCATCGCTATCGTTCTCATCATCATGTTCTACATCATGAAGACAAAGCCTTCAGCCCCAGGTGACAGCCGCACACTCATGCTCCTACTCCAACACTATCACCTTCCCTGGGAAAACCAGGCTGCTCATGCCCCTCCTCTTTCTCCAAGCAGCCTGCTGCTCCAGTCCTCCAGGAAAGACTGTGGAAGCCCCGGGGAGCACACACGAGGAGAAGAAAGAGGCTCCAGGTTTGTACACACAGCCCATGCTACCCCATTACAGATATCCAGCACCAGGGTGGAGTATGTCCACCTTGTCCTCATACCTGGCAGTCTAGCCTCTTGACTGCCTCTGTTTACAGGCCACATAAGAGGAACAGTGCACCCACCTATTCTGTCCCCAGACAGGGGCCTGGTTATCAGGCAGGTCTGCCAAAAAGGAAGCAAGCAGAAAAAGCCAAGTTCAGAGCTACAAGCTAACTGTCTCCCACTTCCAATTTCTTTTCCTACAGACAGTGTGGTGACTTTCCCTGAGAATGGTGAATTCCAGAAGTTGACAGCGACTCCCACAAAGACCCCCAAAAGGTATGTAGAGCAAGTAGTTACTTGCTGGCACTCACCACTGGGTGACGTAGCTCCAGCCCCACGGTCTGAGCTACTAGTTGGAGAAAGAGGTTTAACAGATGGTCTTTTACCACATTTACCAAGCGCCAGGTCATGGAATGTGCCTCTACTTTAAAATCAGCCTAAGAGGGAGGTAATTTCCCATTGTCCCCCTTGGGTGGTCATTTGGACTTGGTCCTTAGAACTCTTCAGCACTGGTTCTCAGCAAGGTAGTATGTAAACCCTCCCTGCCAGACCCTGCACCATGGCTTTACAGACTAGCATGGGAAGGTCCCATCTGTCTTTTGCGGGGGAGCTGGGGTATAGAGTTCCCAAGTGCTGCCAAACCAATTGCAGGAAGAGCAGGGGACCAAACCCTCCTCCTGCCCTAATGTAGGCTCTTCCCACAATGATATGTGGACTCAACAAAGCCTTTCCTACTCCTGAATAATGACTCCACTCAGAGGTCAAGCGCTGAGCAAGCTCAGACTAGTACGTTATCTCATTTGAAGAACTCCAGTGTTTTCAACACTTCCAATACAGGCATCTCTGCCCGGTAGGAAGAGAAGTGGGCAGTCCATGTGAGGTTCATAAGGCCCTTGACAGGGCCTAGTTCCTACAATACCTCAATTCCCATTGGTCATTTTTCAGAATCTGGAAAATTGCGCTCTGAGCCCTGCCATGCATACCAACACATGGTGGCAATGCTGAGACAGGGCTCTGGCAGCATTGTGCAGGTCTCTGACCCCATTTTGTCTCAGCTTGCCCTGTCCACCTTTCCAGGATTTCTTACTCCCAAAAGTAGAAAGCAAGCGAGTGGTGAAGGGCAAGGATGTGTGGCAAACTTAGCACCTTTTAAAAAGGTCTTTAGCCAAACCACATAAAGTGAGCAGGGTGCCTAGCAAAAAGGAATATTGTTTTGCTTATATTTGGACTAGTTTGAGGGCTTAAGCTCCAGCCCATAGGTGCCCAGGCCACCACCACGTCCTATGTAGCAGGAGCATCGAGCAGGGTACATTACACACATGGCACTAGATGCATGTCCCTCGTCCTGACCACCTTCTGGAGTTCACAGTGGCTCCCACAAGCCACACATGCATCCGGGCCATGCTACTGGTCAAGAGTGGCTCCTAGGCACAAGGCTGTGCTTACTCTATTATGATTATTCTAGAAAGCCTGCATGAACTAAGCACCAGCCATCTAAGCTTGAGAACATGAAGACAGAAGGTTGAACTTAACTTACTGGGGTCAAGTACAGAAAATCTAGAACATATTCAGTGACTCCGTTCTGAGCATCCCTGGTATCTGAGTGGAGAGTTGTGCAGTGCAGCCCTCAGTGGCACCCCTAGCCCCTCAGAGCCTACAGCGTTCTAACAGTCCCACGCAGATACCTAAAGGCCACCCTGGACTGGACTTGCTTATTAAGCAGGGCACAGGGATGTGTCTTTCTCATCTGATGTCCCATTACCTAGAGCTCCTGAGGTACAGAAAGTACTTGAGGAGTAAGACACTATGTCTTCTTGTCTATACCTGGAAGGCAAGATCAGCACCAAGACAGCTCATCGGGGCTGCAGTTTCCCAGGCTCCAGTAACAAGTGCCTCACTTGTTTCCACAGTGAGAATGATGCCTCCTCTGAGAACGAGCAGCTATTGAGTCGCAGCGTGGACAGTGACGAGGAGCCAGCCCCTGACAAGCAGGTGTCCCCAGAGCTGTGTCTGCTGTCACTGGTTCACCTGGCCAGGGAGAAGCCTGCACCCAGCAACAAGGCTTCTGGGGTGAGGCTCCAGCTTACATGCCCTTGTGACAAGGCTCACAATGCAGTGACTCACAGCCACCAGACAAGACCCCTTGTGTTGAATAAGCTCTTGTGACACTGTTTCTTTCAAAGGTTCCAGTTAGGGCACTGGGCAGAACAATAGATCCAAAAATAGAAAACTGCCTTATTATATTGCTTTATAGACAAAAAAAATAACAAACAAAAGAGAACCAGAAAAGAAACCTTAGAAAACATGTTGGTGTATATCCAAACAGACTGTGTGTGTATCTATGAGTTCTGAATCCATGGAGTCAACTAAACACAGATTAAAAGAAAATTGTGTCTGTAGCAAACATATAACATATATATATATATATACTTTTTCTTGTCATTAATTATTAATCCACAAACCATGCAGTTCAGCAACTATTTGCACAGCACTTACATTGTATTACTTATTATAAATGATCTGAAGATGATTTAGGGTGTATGGGAGCTACACATAGGTTCTATGCAAATAGGAAGTCATTTTACGTCGGGATCTTAAGCATCCGTAGACTTTGGTATCCTCGGAGGTTCTAGAACCAAGGAATGATTTTATATATGTATATATACATGCATACACACACACACACACACACACACACATATTTCTCTTGCGTAGCAATAGATTCATACAAATTGTCCAGAGGGCTTATCAAGAAAGCAGGCTGCCTTGGAATGTTTGTGGCACAGGGAGTGGGCTCCCCAAGGTTCTGGCTTATATTCACTCTACTCTGCTTCAGGCAGCCCAGCCAAACCATGAGCAGCTGTGTTTTGAGGCAACACTATTGATAGTAAGTGCCCCATTGGGATCCTGGATCTGGCCTGATCCTGCTGGGATACCATGCTCTGGGCTCACTGACCTCTCTAAAAGAACCTGGAAGCCATGCTGTATGGCATAGGTGTGGGTCTTTATACCCAGGATCACTTAGTACCTGTCCTTGTACTGAGCTCTTTGCCCTGAGGAGAAGAGGCTTCTGTAGCTCTACTGGCCCCTGTATGCATGGCTGCCCTGATGGCCGGCTGGGGTCCTCATTGTTATCCTTCCAAACCCACTGATGTCAACTATAGCTTTGGTGTCCTGTTGAGCCCAAGAAGGGCCCCTGTGGAAAACCCTAGGGAAGTTCTTCCTCTTGTGTTCAGACTGTTTCCACCTATGGCCATGGCAAAGCAAGTGTCCCCAGTCATCAGGGCGAAGCCATGAAGAGGGAAGACTTGGGTCTTCACTACTACCTTCCCCTTTTCTGAAGATGAATACTCTCTTAACTGTTTTTTGTAGATCCAAAGCCGAAGGAAAAAGATATTGGATGTGTATGCCAACGTGTGTGGTGTTGTTGAAGGTAAGGATGACAGTCATTCCGAGAACACTTCTCTGAGGTGATATTCCCCAATGTCAGCCATGGGAAAGGGACTCCTGTGTGAGAACCTGAAGACAGTTGCCCACACAACTTGTCAGGCCCCAAATCAGAACAGCCATATGAGCTGACTTCTGTTGTGGAAAGAAAGGGAATTTGGTTCCCAGTCTGGCTGAAGCACTCCCATGGTGCCTTCCTCACAAGACAGGAGACAGCCCTGGTTGCTTGCTAGTGCAGTGCCACATTGGGCAGAGGACAGAGCTCCTGTGCCTGTGTCCGCATTGGCATCAGGGAAATGTCTGATGATGTCCGGTACAGTCAATCAGTGCCATTAGCAATTAGGGACACATTCTGAGGAACACACAGGTAGGTGCTTTTGTTCTTGTGTGAACATCAGAGAGTACAGATGCAAACTAAGATGGCTACAGTATCACTAGGCAATGCAATCCTATGGAACCCCTGCCTTCTGTTATTGACAGAAATGCCATTATGCAGCATATGGCTGTACCTCACAGTACCCTCCTTAGTTTAACAAGCTATACTCTACTGGCTTTGGAGTGTTTCCCTTCTCCTTCCCAAGCTGCCATCTGAGCAGCAAGTTTAAACTGCCTGCCACAGGCAGAGAAGAAGCAACAGGATAAGAACAATAAGCATTTCAGTCTGTAATCCTCCCAGTGCTGCAAAATCTGAACCCTAAATTAACTTCTGTTGACCCCGAAGATAAACCCTGATGTCAGGGGACTTTCCTACCTCCTCCCTTCCTGGCGTCCCTCCACATACTCCTGGTCTAGTTGAGCAGTGGGACTGAAGTGGGTCACATGCTGCCACTCATGCCCCAAGTGGGCAAGGTGCCGACCCTCAGCCCGGGCAAGCTGGTTAGATGTTCTATCTGGCCAGAAATAACCACTGAGCATGAATTCCAGGGCCAAGAATTTTTCCTGACTGCCTGCCAAAATGTGGCATTACTCCATAAATGCATGCCAGGTCAGCCTGCTTGATCAAACCTGGCATGGTAGGTGCTGTTGACCCAGAAGAATATGGTCTGGGAGTTGCATTCCAGCATTCCAAAAGCTCTTCTCTGTTCCAAAGAATGTCTTGGCTTTGAAAGCCCAGAGCCCTGGGACAGTGGTTTTCCAGTTAACATAGAGCCTAACCCATAAGAAGAGCCCTCTAGTGAGCCTTGGAGGAGGAGAGCTTCAAACCTGTGCCCTCAAGCACTCCCTGACAATCCAGGCATGTGTATCTCCTCATGTCATAGTAATGACAAGACCCAGCCAAGGCTGAGACCCTCAAATGTTTCTAGTGGTAGAAACACCTGGAGACCTTAATTTTCAGTGCCTCTGACTACCCAGCCCACCCCATCTGCCTCAAGATCCCAATGTTATTAGTATGGGATGAACCCCAGACATCAAATTTGTCTGGTTCTTTTTAATTAAGTTCTTTATTGTGATATCCTTACCACTTATGATAAGAGGAAATAAAGCAAAGTCTGGGTGCTCTTTATCCAGTGTTTCCTCATGATAACAGCTGAAAAGCTGATCAAGACATTAATGTTGACACAGTGAAGACAGAGACCTTCCATCACCACAGGGACCTACCCTGCTCCCGTTTTACAGCCTCACCATTTTTTCCATCAACACCCTCCCTCACTGAGCCCCTGGCACCCCTTAACCTGTTTTCTATTGCTATGATTTTGTCATTTCAAGGATATGATAAAAGTTGAATCATACAATACACATTCTTTGTGATTGGTTGGCCTCACATATCAATTAGATAGAGATTCATCCAGTTTTTGTGTTTGTCAGCAGTCATGGGGGTTTCTTATACCTTCTGCATAGGCAGTCACATCGGACACAGGGACAGTTTTATTCCTTCCTTTCTAGTTTGCATAAACCTTCTCTTCCCTTTTATCACTCACTGCTTTGGCAAGAACTTTTTCTTTCTTTCTTTTTTTTCTTTTGTCTTTTTGAGACAGGGTCTCCCTGTAGCCCCAGCTGTCCTGGAGCTCACTATGTAGACCAGGCTGGCCTTGAACTCACAGAGATCTGCCTGCCTTTGCCTCCCGAGTGCTGGGATTAAAGGTGTGTGCCACCACACCTGGCCCGAACTTTTAACACAATATCAAATACAAGTATAAGAGCAGAAGCTCTTGCCTTGTTCCTAGTCTTAAGAAAGCACTCAGCTTTCACCACGGAGTATAATGTTAGCTCTAGACTTTTATAAAAGTTTGCATTAATTTTTGTGAATGGATTATATTCACTTTTGAATACTGAACTAGGCTTACATCCCTAGAATAAATGTCACTTATCACAGCACATAATTGTCTGGTACATAATTTGATATTGTTGAATTTTTTATTTATTATTTTTATTTTCCATGTATGTAAGTTCACCCATGTCATGCAATGCCCAAGGCGGTTGGAAGAAGGCATCAGATCCCCTGGAACTGGAGTTATGGACAGTTGTTCATTACTGTGTGGGTACTGGGAATTGAACTTGGGTCCTCTGCAAGAGCAACCAGTGCTCTTAATTGCTGAGCCATCTCTCTAGCCCCAATACTGTTGAATTATGTTTAATAATATTTTGTTAAGGATACTGGTCTCTGGTTTTGTATTGTCTTGGTCTAGTTTTGGTATCACATTGGGAAATATTTCTTCTTTTCTTTTTTCTGGAAGTGATTATATAGAATTGGTGTTAATTCTTATGTTTAGTGATATTGAGCTCCTGTTTACTTCCATTTGTGACATGTGATTGTGACCATTCCTCTCTTAGGTCTCAGCCCCACAGAGCTGCCATTTGATTGCCTCGAGAAGACAAGCCGAATGCTCAGCTCCACGTACAACTCTGAGAAAGCTGTTGTGAAAACGTGGCGCCACCTTGCAGAGAGCTTTGGACTGAAGAGGGATGAGATTGGGGGAATGACCGATGGCATGCAGCTTTTTGACCGCATCAGCACGGCAGGCTACAGCATCCCTGAGCTGCTTACAAAGTTGGTACAGATTGAGAGGCTGGATGCTGTGGAGTCCTTGTGTGCAGACATACTGGATTGGGCTGGGGTTGTGCCACCTGCCTCCCCACCCCCTGTTGCATCCTGAGTAATGTGCCTTGGATTGTCCTCCCTAGGATCAGCTAGAGATCCAGTGAGGCCACTGCAGCTGTGAGTGGTGCCATCAGACTGCCAAAAATCGAGGCTTTTTCTGATGGGTTGCCATATGCCTTAGGCTACTCTAAAGAGCCTGTTGAGCACTCAAATGAACCAAACCATGTGGGGGTGACAGAGGTGAAAAATCTGATTCTACCCTTAAGGAGACACTTAATGGGACACAGAGGACATGTTACAGACCGTGTCGCCAGAACATCAAACAGGCTGAATGAAGGGAGGCTAAGAAAATAGAGCAGAAGTTCTAAGAAGGGGTGATAGCTTTTCGTGGGGTTGTAAAGGGGGTAGCCTTGTGAAGAAGATAGCTCAAAGGTTTTGGTAAAGTGGTTACAGTGCAGACATCCCACTGCCCATACTGCTTCAGATTCAGCACAGTCTGTTTGCTTTTTCTGAGGTTTCAGGGATAACTTGAACTGTTCACCAAGTCACCTCAATGGTAAGCCTTGCAATCAGTGGTGGAAGCACTCCCTCTGTCACAGACACTCAAGGCATAAGTCTGTCCAGTCAAGCAGAAGTATGCTGGCCGATTTCATAGACTGCATAGCTCCTAGGCCTGGGAGCCTCCGAGCATGAATTACATGTGAGTGGCCTTTCCTGCTCACAGTTGGCAGATTTATCCTCCAACAGCGCTCACGGGCACAGCAGTTACAAATATGTCTGGCTGTTTTTACTTCAAATGAGTATGTGATCTCAGAGAAGGAAATGGTGACTCTCTGAGTTAGGCCATACCTGATTCTAGATTTCAAAAGTGGTCAAGATGCGTGGATAAGGCTCATGACGTGAGAATTCAGACACAGCTTCCTGCACCAGTGAGGGGTGGTAGAGCCTGAGGTGTAGTGCAGGGCTGGGGTCTGGAGTCTTGGGCCTTTATGGACCTTGTGACTGTCATCTCCCCCGGCCAAATGAGAAGTTGGTTGGTGAGTCTTTAGTCAGAAAAGTTAAGACTCAGGTGAGCCAGAAAAAATGGAGGCAGGAAAGGAGGGGCTTTGGGAGCCCCCATGGCATGAATGCAGTATGAATTGCCACACAAAATGGGAGTAAAAAGGGAAACTCCCAGTTGGCATTTTTAGGGCAATTATGTGCCAGAATATTTACAGAGACAAAGTTAATAAATGGGCATTGCTCTTGGCAAATGTTAACTGCCAAGACTGGGAAGCCAGGGGAGCTTTCACACCAGGAAGTTAATGCAGAATCAACTGCTGGGCTCCCTCTTAAAGCACTGGCTGTGGTGATTGCTAAATTAAAATAAAGCCTCTGGCTTAGAAAGCTGTGTTTTTAAAATTACAATTTGCATGACTGAATAAAAGCTTTGTGGGGGAATCAGTTGTGTGCTTAAAGTTGACAAGCATTTTCCCACCATTGAATGTAGAATGTGCTGTGAGAGGACCATAGGTCCTGAATATTTAATACCATCATTCACTGTGTCTGTTTGTGCTGTTTTTTCAGAAGCTATTTGTATATCCTGAATGCTCAATGTTCTCCTTCATTATCCTTTTAATTCCTTTTTGAAATCCTGCAGTGCCCCTTACCCCAGTCTGTGATCATGATGATGAGCCTTCCCTTAATTACACTGCAAGTGTCACATGTGATGAGGGAATAGGTCCAGGACAACAGCAGTCATCCTCCTTCAAATGGTGTTCTGAGAAGCAGTTGGGAGCTGTAATAGGCAGGCCCCAGTGGGGGTAGGCCTTGGTTCACCTATTGGATTCAGGGCCAGAGAAAGCCAGCATCAGTGCTGGAGCCCTTAGTTCCAAGCCTGCTATTTTTTGGGAGCTCACCGTTACCAGTTACACTGTTCCTTGTCATTTCCTCATTTGGCAACAAATCCAGGAAAGGTTTGCCACCATGAGCTTTCACCTATATTACAAAATTCCGAACCAACTATAATAATTCTCATTGACAGTGCTGGAACTCCATGCTGCCATTTTCTCTGAGGTCTGTCACTATTTTTCAACACTTAAAAGCATTTAGTTAACACTTTAGGCTAGGTCTGTGGCCCTTAGCCAGGGAAGTCTTAATTGTGAATATTTTATATAAGTCTATATATATATAACTTATTTTATCTTATAATTTCAATAAACATGTTTATAAAAAGGAGACCTATAGACTGGTACTCTGTGAGTTATGAGCACCTACATGAGTGGTGCCATGTGAGTGGAGAAGGTTCTTGTATTTTTTGTTTGTTGTTACTGTTGTTGTGGTTTTGAGACAGGCTCTTCCTGTATCCTCAGCTGGCCTGGAACTCACTATGTAGACCAGGCTGGTCTCCATCTCATAGAGATTGCCTGTCTCTGCCTCCCAAGTGTTGGAATTAAAGGCATGAGCCACCATACCCAGCTAAGAGAAGAAGGTTCTGAATGCTGTGTTCCTGGTCATTATACTATGTATGGTGAGACTATGGGGTTGTGACCACCATAAATGAAGTTTCCAAAATGTTACAGTCTGGGGTGCTCACTAGTGGAAGCAGACACACATGGGAACATGTAAAAACAACATGGAGCATTGCCTTCCATGTTTCCACAATTAGTTATAAAGCAATGCATTACATTGCGATTGCTACGTAATTGTCCAAAATTCAGTGCTTTGAAGCACAGTCATTTCTCATTCTAGCTCTGGGGTCAGTAAGAGCCACTGGGGTCAGCTGACCTGGGCTGGGGCCTCTGCCTGCTGGACAACTTTGACTGGGGCAGCTCTGCTTCAGCATCCTTCATCTTCCTCCTCACAAATCAGCCAGGGAACCTGAGCTGAGATATTGTTCATCATGTTGATACCAGAAACAAAGGGGCAGAACAGAGGCCATCTGAAGGTTTGGGCTTAGAACTGTCTGCCTGTCACTTCTGGCTCACCCAGTTGGCAGAGCAAATCACATGGTCATACCCAGAGGCAAGGGTCAGAAAGGAGATTCTCTCCCATGTGCATGAGGAGAGAACACATAACAAAGAACACGGGAAATAAGAAAGTGTTTACCAGTCACCAGTGTTGAATGGCCACAGCTGAATTGTAGGACACCCTGTTGGTGTCTACAGAGTTGGAGATTTGCTCAATACGATGTCTGGTGTCAGAAAAGTTGGGAGTATCAGAAAAACAATTTGCTGCTCTTAACAAGCATTTGATTTTTAAAGCTACAGGGTAGAAATAACCAGAAAATGAAAATGGGAAGAGGATAAAACTATTTGCCTGAGAGTCACCCTGAAGATGCACATCACACATCCTAAAAGCTATTTCAGGATTCTAAGGGCATACGCTGTGTGCATCCTGCTGGTTGGCATCATTTTCATGGCTTACTGTTTTGATTAGGGACCATGTTTCTCTTCTGAAAGGGAATGTTAAGTTTCTTTATGCCTCAGTTTCCTCTTTACATGGGATATAACATGTTTGTTTTGGGATTATTGTGTGAATTAAGTAAGAAATATAAAGCATTTCATCACTGTTAGGATTCTCTGCCTTATAGGGGCCCAGACATTAACAGACTGCCTGAGAGTGCCTGGACCCAGCCTCCATGTGGTAGTGAGCGTCCCCAAAGCATGTCATGCACATCCCACCACCCCAGGTCTAGGCTTCTCTGCCCTTTAGTGGGGGCCCAGATTTTTGCACACTGCCTGAGAGCAACTAAATCCGGGCTCCCCTTAGCGAGCTTCTCAAATTGTGCTATGATAGCCCACTAGTAGGGGTCCAGACCTAGGGGAAAGCACAGGAGCTCCTGAGTGGCTGATTTGAAACCATCTGTTACTTCCAATATAAAATCTGAGAGAACCTAAAGCCTAAACCAACCAGCTTTACACACCCAATAAGAAAATATCCAAGGCACACCAATAATACAAACAGAAGCAATCTTTGACCCAACAAAGGAAGGTTTGAGTTTCACACTAGAATCACAAACAACAAAAGAAATACACATGTCAAAATCACAGTGAAAAATAATAGTATGGAAAACCAAAACAGTATGCTCCCAACAAACATCATCAGTCCTAGAGAAGAGTTCTACAGGGAGATCCCCATAGACATAACCCAGGACA